TTTTTTATTATTTTAATATTTTAATAACTAAGATGTTTTAAATTTTCTTGATCCTTAAGAATAATAATAAAAGTTAAAATTATACTATTAAACAAAACTTTTTGAAATGGCCAAAAACCAAAAACAAAACTTTTAGGCAAGTGAAATAAGAAAAATTTTCTTAAAATATATCATTTTTTTAGAAGATAATTTTAAAATTATCCAAAATTTTCTGATGTTTACATAAAAATTACTTTAAATTATATTAAAAATATACTGTATTTGAAATTATTCTATTTAATTTGCTAATGTATATTTAGAACAAAAAACTGATATAAAGTTTATCTTACACAAATTATTTATTTTACAATCATTAATAAATCATCTTCTATTATTAAAGTTTTTTTTATTTATTAATAATTATAAAATATACAATTCATATTAAACCAATTGCAAAACAACAATTTCTATTTAGAATATATTCTATCAAGTTGAACCAGTTGCCCTTGCCCTGTTCATATCATCCAAAATTTCAAACCATTTTACAAAGAAACAAAATCATCGTTAGAAATGAGAACAGTTGCGGTGGCGGAGAACGATAAAAAGAACGTGAGCGTGCATTGGAGCTGTGGCGGTGGACCCAGTTGGTAAGCTGTGAATGATTTGCTAGCTGTTGCCTGTACCTTCCCCTGATCAGATGTTCAAAAAATTGGAGACTTTCCTTTCTGGAAGACCGCAACGCCACCTTTGGCTGACCTGTCCTTCAGAAAAATTGGGTCCCATCGTCAATTCATTGTCACCACACACGCCATCCTTCCCGCATGGCTCTCAAGCCTTTTTTTTTACTTCCATTTTCTTACCCCCTGTGTTTCAAAATCGGCGGTAAGTAGTTACAATGGATGCATTATTATATAAATAAATATAAAATATAATGAATAAATTTTTAAATAAAAAATTAATTATATTATCCATTTTTTATAAATTTATAATATTATATAATTATATGATAACGTATTAAATATTTATACCTAAATTATCAAATGTCCCTTTCCTTTCTTTTTCTTTCTGTTTCTTTAGGGATACCCAATATAATAAGAAAATGATATCCAAATCATCAACTTTCATGGCTTATTAAGCCAAAAATGTTAAAAATATTCATCTTCCACACGATACAGATCCAATTAAAAGGCCGAAAGAAAAACTTCAACTCTTGAAATACAAATAGTAAAACCGCGAACACAACTTACCTAGCTAGACATGTTCTTAAATTCGGCTGCTACTAATTTGTTTCTCTTCTAAATGGTGATCGATTGATCTTCATACCTGCTTTTCCCAACTGTGGTTAATGATTGCTTTTCCCCCCCTTTTTTTTTTCTTTCGGTTTGATTTCCTTAATTTTCTGCCCAGCAAAAAGGAAAAGCTTCGTTTTCCTTTCCCGTGAGTTAAGCCGTGGGATTTGGTGTTATCAAAACATTATTTAGCTATTTAATTTAAGTATTTTAATGATAATTTTTTATTTAATTAAAACAAAAGATTATAGATTTGAGTGGTGGAATGTAGATATGATGAGTACGAAAATGCAGATCGAAACTTTGTTCTTCAGTTATGTCTGCATTTCAACAACAGTTTTCAATTTTTCATGTGTAATTTACGCACGATTATAGTTTTTATTCTGTTGTGGGTTGTATATAACCTAAATATAGTTTTTTATTTTTTATTTATATTCATTGATAAATTAGGTGTATCAAATTCAAATTCTTTAATTTATGGTTATTAAATTATGATGTGACATGCATATGAACTTTTAGGTTTAGTGACGTCAAACCACGTATAAATGCATTTTTCACTCCTAAGACAACGGATGAATCCGAATCCATGGTAATTTGTTCAAAAATAAAAATTATGATGTGACACAATTAAAGTTGGTTTTTTAGGCCAACATTAATTAGGAGCAACTGGTGAAATCTTTTTTTTTTTTTCTTGTTCTTCTTTTTCCGAAAACTGGTGAAGTTTTAGATTTATGATTTACAATTAAAAGTCTATATTGATGAGAAATTTTTTTGTATAATGGATAATATCATGTTAACTAGATCTCATATATTAATATATAATATGTAGTGATAGATTAATATATGTGAATTCTACTTATAATTAAAAGTATTAATTGATTATCATTTACTTATTATTTAATTATAAATGAGGTTACACATATTAAAGTATCGATATATTAATGGGCAAAAATATTTTTAATGTAATATATCTGTTATGAAATCATTTTTCTTGTTGGATACAGAAACATGGAAACTCCTTTTGAGTAAGGGGGAAATGACAACCCATGTTAATTTGGTGTTGTTCATTTCGCAAGAAACTGCATTTCCCCTTGGAGTGATTTAAGGCTTTAATCCAAGGAACCATATCTGGCTCCACATCCCGGAAGAGCTCGGGAAAATGACAAAATGTAATATTGCCTATAATAATATGCTACTTTTTTTTTTGTTCATCATAATGGATGGAATGTAAATAGTTATTTGTTGGTTTAATCAATTAATTACTAGTAACAAAATATTTCTAAAATGATTTATCAATAGTAATAGAATACTTTAGTGATGCAATATTTCTAAAATAATTTTTTAATAATATTCAACTATTTTAGTAAAATTATCACTGTGTTAATTTTATGTAATATTTGTCAATGATTTATAAATATTACAAATCAACTAAGTACTATCATTAGTGTTAAAATAAAATTTAATTTTTTTAATATTTATATAAATTAATTAAAAATATATTTATTATACACTTAAATTTTTATTTAAAAAATCAACTATTTTAACTACCCGCCAGACGTTCTCTAATTAATTTCCTTCTGTTTTTGAGCCTCCACCTCAAATAAAAAAAAAGTTTATTTTTTTAACAAGTACCAAAGAGCTCTGTTGTGGTATATAACTTAGAGTATGTTTAGTGAAATTTATAAAAAATTTTATTTTTTATATTATTTATAAGTGATAAGTTTAAATTTTTATTTAAACAAAATTAAAAATTATTTTTAAAAATAAAAAATAAATTTATAAAAAAAACATAAATTTAAAATTTTTCAAAACTTACTATTTAAAATTTTTTTAAAGTTAAAAAAAATAAAAGTTATAAGTTTTTTATAAAAAAATTTAAATTTATAAAATATAAATAATATTAAAAAGTTAAAACTCTTACTAACTTCAATAAACATGCTTTTAATCTCCTTCATTTTCTATAGAGTTTTTCGTCATTTCGTTTTTCTTCACAAATTGAATTTATAATTCTACTAGCAAATTAAGAAGTAAACATACTCTCACCAAGTTTGTGATTCAATAAATTTTTTTTTAAAACAATTTTGGCATTATTTACAGGTATATATGGAAATGAAATAAATGAGTTTCATGAAATTCGAATACACCACCCACAAAAATGAATAACCCTAACTTAAGTTCCAATGTTATTGGATTGAATCGGATCATTCGTGATTCAATAATTTTATATTTTATTATAAAATATATTTAAACTTTAAAAATAAGGTTTAAATCTCCCTCCACTCAGATTATAATCTGTTAAAAAAATAATAATAAACATACTCTCGCGATTTGTCTATAATAAAGTGTCTTGCAAAAAAAAAAAAAAAAGAAAGAAAGAAAGAAGACTTTTGAGAACAATGCAATAATTGCTTCATTTACTTTATCAAAGGCAAAAATCCGTAGGGAATGCTAGCAGCACTATTTAGGTGGGGCTTGGTGCAATTCCGTTCACGCCAACCTTCTTTCCTCCGACAACTCTAAATCAGAGATAAAAATCTCCTTCCTCACTGTGAGAAACTCCCGGTGGGAATATCTCAATGAAAGGTTAGGACATGGCCACTACTTCTGGTGAAGATTTATATTAAAATTTACATATTGCTAATTTAAAAGAATGACTTATAATAAATTAATAACACTCGAACATGCAAGCGAGTGTAAAAATATTTTATCTTAATTTATTTTATTCTTTATCAATTGGGTTAGTTTATTCTACATAATAAATTATATTTTATAATTTAATATAATTTAAAATATAAAATATTTTTTAATCTCATATTATATTTAAAAATTAAAAGTAAGACTTATCATTTTTAGCCTTGGAAAAAAAATATAGTGCATTTTTGTTTACTCTTTGTCTATCTTAGGTTGCAATAAGAATTAATCTTTTTTTATGTTTTAACTCAATTTATTTATTATTTATACCATTTAAATTTTAAATATCTTATTTTTAATAAAAAAATTATTATTAAATTATTCAGGTACTTGAGTTTCTTATCAATTTTCTTACCTTTTAATTTCAATCATAAAAAAAAAAATTTCTCACCTTCTTGGGGTAAATGTTAAATTTTATTAATTGTATTATTAGTAATTAATTTCATATAAAAATAAAATAAAATAAAATATTTATATTTATATTATTAAAAAAATAAATTTAATATAAAAATTTATATAAAGTTAATTTAAAATATCATAGTTAATTAATAAATTTTAAATACTTATTGGACAAACCTAAAATATATATATATATATATCAATCGGAACATGATCCACAATTTTATAAAGTCATGAACCCGTGCAAAATCTGACCCCATGAAAACAGTACTGTAGATTGTCATCAGTTCCCTGCCTCAAAATCCGCACATTGTTTGCTACTGACTTCAAACAACGGAAACGACGTTCGTTGCGCGCGGGATAGAGGCGCCTCGTAAGCAGGCACACGACCTCCGACATCCCTGAGTTCCCACGTCCCACACGTTCGCCACGTGGCGCCAATAATACCCCCCCACGTGGGTCCCATCTTCTCCAATATGGGATGCCTTACGCAGGACGCAGGTGAGGTAAACCAACAACTGCCGTCGGCACTGCCTCTTCCTCATGTCCCATTATGTAATTTTGACTTCAATAGCATAATATGATATATCCAAATAATACCCACTTTTGCTTAATTACACCCTCTTTGGTTTTTGTTTTTGTTTTCCCTCTTCTTCCTCGTTGTTGTTGTTATTGCTGTTGCTAACTTCTCTATCTAAAGGTCCTCACTTTCTCTCCCTAGAAAATTTTTTCCTGTTCTGGGTCGGTGAGATGATACAGAGGTGATTGATTTGAGAAGAGAGAGATGGGGGCTTGTGTATCGACCCCAGGGAAGTGTGTTAGGGGGAGATTCAGGTCGTCGAAGAAGAAGAATCGTAAGAAGAGGAGGATTTTGAGGAGGAGAGTGCCCTCTCGGTTTTCTGATGGATCGTTGGACAAGGGAGATAGGCCTGCTCCGCTTGATCACCTTTCCTCCTTCACCAACGCTGCTTTTCAAGGTCTGCTGCTTTTGCCTCTTTCTCTTTCTGGGATTGGGATTGATTCTTCCTATGAAAGTTGGTCACTTGGTTGATTTCATTTAGCATTGATTGTATAATGTGAATGTTGTTTTGTGTTTGTCGGTTGATTTACTTGATGAGTTCTGGTCTTGCGGTGTTGGGTTGGTCTTGGTAGTTGCACTTGCATGAAACCTTCTGGATCATTAGGAATGTAGATTGTGGAGTTAGAAAATGGTATGACGTGGTTAATCTATTTTGATGAAAACATGCTTGTGTAGTTGGTTAATGACTTCTTTGAAGCTGCTACCTATTAAAGCCAAGTCATTTATAGGTAAATTGATGCCCCAATTTTCTGAAGTAAGGTTCTGGGTTATATCGGAATGATTAATCTGTATCTTTTCCCTTGATGCCTTTCTAAAGTAAGTTTACCTTTTCCTTGGTATGATCCAATTGTTAATGGTGGATAAGCAGAGGGTCAATTATGAAGAAAGTAACTCAATGATCAAAGTTATTTGAACTTTGACCCAATATAGAAGCAGAGTGGAGGACCTTTTCCTGTTAACTTTTCTCAACACTAGGAGTTCAACAATTTGAGCTGGATTCTAATTTGCCAGGCTATTTTGCTTTAACCGATTGGGGGTCTGATCCCATACAAATGAACATGAGCTAGTTGGAGTTTAATTGGATGGGGAGAATTGCTTGGCTGCATCCAAAATTGGTGCTTTCATGGCTGCACTTGTTTCTGCTGAGAGTATTGCTCAGCCTTTTGTGTGTTAGGTCCGATATGGTTTAGTTCTGGGTTGAAAGTTAGACAGGGTTGAATCACTGGCATCATGCCTAAAATCCGTTTAGAGATATTTATTGTGACACTTATTTGTTGATTTACCTTGAATGGCTGATTATTCTTTCATTTATGGTCTAAATTTTTCAACTTGATCCCAAGAGCCTTTCTTATCATGAAGTTAAATGTAGGTATTGGCACTGCTGTGACATATTAGTGTAGAATATTTCTGTTTTGATTGCAGCGAATTGCCTGACATCATTATCATGTAATGACTTGCAGGGAGTATTGAGGAGGCATGGTTTGATTCTATTGCAATATTTGAGTCATCTGACTGTGAAGAAGAGTTTGAAAGTATTCCGGATGGTATGATAGTTTATAAGTTTGATATCTATTGTGTATTTTTTGTCTATAAATTTTCTTGTTTGTTGGTTCTAAATCTGATTCTTGTTTTCTCTGTTACCTGTGCTCTGCTTTTGTGAAGATGCATGTTCTTTAAATGGCTTAGAACGTGTATCTGTATCAAGTATTTCATCTCAAAGAGATGCTAATTGTGGAGAACATTCTGCATGCAATTCTGTTAGTGAGGTTGCTAGACATTCAAATAGTCTCGTCTTCAATTCAGACAACGTTGATTCCCAGTCAAAATCTGATGGGCCTTCTAATGAAGCAAAGCAGCCTGTATTTGTTGATGATATCTCATCCTCTGTAGATGAAGGTGCTGACAAGGAGGAAGGATTGTTGGATAATTGTGGCATTCTTCCAAGCAATTGTTTACCATGTCTTGCATCTACTGTTCCACCAGTTGAGAAGAGAAGATCTTCATGCTCTAGTCCCCCCAGTGTAAAGAAAAAGGCTGCCTTAAAACTTTCCTTTAAGTGGAGGGAAGGTCATTCCAATTCTGCCCTACGTGAGTATTTTTCATCATCTACATTGAAGTTTGTGTATCTGTTGGATACAAACATGGCTGTGGCCACCGTTGTATAAATTTTGTTTGAACTGCATTATTTTGATTGCTTTGGATTCACATGCAACAGTTTGATAGAATTTGAACTTTGATAACTTTGTAGGACCATGACTGTTATTGGCAGTAAAAATTGTTAGCATTTGAGGTCCTCTAGAAAGTACCACAAGGATGGGAAAACATTGTCTCTGATATATCTTTTTAATTTAGTTTGTTTCTTGTTTTGTCTCAGTTTCTTCAAAGAAGCTTCTTCAAAGACCTATCGCTGGTTCTCAAGTACCTTATTGTCCAGTGGAAAAGAAAATGCTTGATTGTTGGTCAGACATTCAACCAGGTACTTTCAAGGTCCGAGGAGAGAATTATTTTAGGTAAGACCAGAATGGAACTCTGCTACTTCTTTGATTCTACATTTTCACATATAGTTGTCTTTGTAACTTTTATTATTATTGATATAAACCAATAGCTTGTGACAGACTTTCAACAAACATTTTGATCTGGATTCACATCAGTGAATCTTTTATTGCAACTACTATTTCTTGAAAGGCAATTACTTTCTATTGCAGGGACAAAAAGAAGGATTTTGCACCCAACCATGCTGCTTATTATCCATTTGGTGTTGATGTATTCTTAAGTCCGCGAAAAATAGATCATATAGCTCGATTTGTCGAACTGCCAGTTATTAGCTCCTCTGGGAAACTCCCACATATCCTTGTTGTAAATGTTCAGGTGCACCTCCTTTTTTTCAAGGAAATTAGTATACTTATTTGCATGCCTTTTGGTTTAAGATTCCTCCCTGAGCCCTTGCACTGTCCGTTAAGGTGTTAATTCAGTGACATCTTGCTCATGATAGAAGACAAGCTTAAGCAATTCTCACACAACCATTTTCTGCATATCCAATTTTTTTTTTTTTTCCTTTTTTGTTGGCCGCTTGGCACTTTAATAGTGAAGACTTCATAGCCATTAGCCAAGTCAAAAAAATTTGCCTGACAATTTTCTCAAGCCGTACATACATGAGAAACAAAAACCTTCCTCTTCTGTATGGCTTTTTCTTTTTTGTTTTTTCTTTCTTTTGCAGTCTGGTATTAAAAGTTCTTGTGGGCTGTGCAGATTCCCTTGTATCCTGCCGCAATTTTTCAGGGTGAATCAGATGGTGAAGGAATGAGTTTTGTTTTGTACTTTAAGCTATCTGATAGTTACTTTAAGGAACTTCCACCTCATTTTCAAGAAAATATCAGAGTAAGATGGAGACTTATTTGCATTTCACAAGCTGGCTGATACAGTTTATTTTTATAATTAATGGCTTATTTAAAGCAGACTTACTAATTTGCATTCATGCTTCATCTCCAAACAGAAATTAATGGATGATGAATTCGAGAAAGTCAGAGGATTTCCTGTAGACACAAATGTACCATTTCGAGAAAGGTTGAAAATATTAGGCCGTGTAGTCAATGTGGAAGATCTTCATCTGAGTGCAGCAGAAAGGAAGCTTATGCAAGCATACAATGAAAAGCCTGTTCTTTCACGCCCGCAACATGAGTTCTACCTGGTAAGTTTGTAGCCAACTGCTCTCTCATAGGAGAATGAAGAAAATGAAGATTCAAATGAAGACTTTTAACAGTTGTAAACTCAAATTTCCATAGGGGTGCATCTAAAACATCCTGTATATTACCCCTTTAAAACACAACACAAGAAGCATTGCTTTACCTATTCATGGTTTTATTTTGTTTCCCGTGGACTTAGGATAAAAAGTTTTGCAGGGAGAAAATTATTTTGAGATTGATATAGACATGCACAGATTCAGTTACATCTCTAGGAAAGGGTTCGAAGCATTCGTAGACAGATTAAAGCTCTGCATCCTGGATGTAGGCCTCACTATTCAGGCAAGTTCAAACCCCTCCTCTCCTACATCCCCTTAACGAAAACACAGAATGTAGCAAGTTGATTAGTTTCATTCAAAATCTGATTTCCTTTGAAGATGCTAGCTAGTGCTTCAAGCTATTTACTTACAACCAACATCTCCATTTCAAAACAGGGGAACAAACCTGAAGAGTTGCCAGAGCAGGTCTTATGTTGTATTCGATTAAATGGCATTGATCACAAGAAATACAATCAACTGGGCTTAACTCAAGATGCCCTCTGATGTTGTAGTTCCCCAATTGATGTCAAAGTTTATATTTTAATTTTAATAAAAAAAACATTTCTTACAGAAATTTTTGTTGCATTTCTCTAGAATTTCCAAGTTAGCCCGAGATGGCATGTAATATTAAATGCATACCGCAAAATGGGTTTTAACCAAACATTCCTCATTTCTCTTAAAAAAATCTGCCAAATCAACTATGGAACGCCCAACAAATATAAGAAAATTACAGATGAACAAGTGAAGGATTATAAACTAGCAAATCCTAGCTCAAGCTTTGCATGGAGGTAATGGCTTCCCACATAAACCTCTGTTTCCTGTGAAAGAACTCTGAGGAAAATCACTCAGAGGTTCACCGTCCGGAATTCTCCCCTCCAACAGATTATTTGATAAGTTCAAGTTCTTGAGGTCCCTTAGCATCAAAAACTTCAATGGTATTTCACCATTGAACCTGTTGTGGCTCAAATCCAAGTTCTTCAATGCCTTCACTTCCCCCATGGAAGCTGGTAATCTTCCTCCAAGAAAGTTATGTGATAAATTCAGGAACTGGATTCCCTTCTGAGCTCCGATACCAATCTGTTCAATCCCGCCGGTGAATCTATTATCCGATAGGTCAATATATGTCAGCAAACCACCATCTTCGAAGCCGGTTCCTATCCTGAAAACCTGGTTTGTGGACCCTGTAAGCTTGTTTGAGTGAAGATCAAGCATACCTAATCCCTCCAAAGCCACTACTGAATCCGGGATCGTCGAAAACAGGGCGTTCCCTGAGAGATTTAGGGAGTAGAGCTGTCTGAGGCTTCCAATCCATGGAGGTAGGCTGCCGATAAGATGATTGGCGGACAAGTCCAGCTCCTGCATCGGACTAGGAGTTCTGCGCAGGAACTCTGGTATCTGGCCTTGGATCCCGCATCCTGCTAAATACATTCTTGAAAGAGAAGGCAATTCCGCCATCCATGGGGGAATTGAAGTGAGATTTAAACGGTTGAATGACAGATCCAGAACTTGAAGCTTTTGGAGGGAAGACAGTTCTTGAGGCAACGGACCCTGAATCAGATTATGAGAAACGGAGAAGAGAATGAGACTCGAGAGCTGGCCAATTGTTTTCGGAATTTGCTCGGAAAATCTGTTTCCGCCGAGATATAATTCCGTTAAAGCTTCAAGATTTCCCAAGGTGGAAGGCATTTCTCCCTCTAGATTGTTATTTTCCAGGGAAACTCTTTGGAGTGAAACCAAGTTTCCGAAGCTGGGAGGGATTCTTCCACTTAATCTGTTATTTTGCAGTCTTAGAAACCCCAGCAATGGCATATCACCTGAGTTTGATGGAAATGGAATCGTTCCTTCGAGACGATTGTTATCAAAATACATAACCGAAACTGTCTTCAGATTGGTTATAGAAACTGGGATTTTTCCGGTTAAAAGATTACCGGACAGATCGAGCTCTTCCAACGACTGCAAATCGCCGATCTTCGCTGGTATATTAGCCGTCAGGGAATTGCCATGAAGATCCAACCGCCGGACATTTGTCAAGTTCATCAATGAATCGGGGATGGCACCGGAGAGTTGATTTGAATGAAGAAACAAAAAATTAAGATTTTTCAAGATGCCGAGACTTGGAGGTATGGACCCAGATAGCCGATTCTCATGAAGGTGAAGTTCTTCAAGTTTCAACAGCTTTCCGATGCCCTCCGGTATTGACCCTCTTAGCTTGTTTCCGAAGAGATAGAGCCTCCGGAGGTTCTGAAGACGGCCGATCAACGGTGGGATTTTCCCAGAAAGTCCTATGAGTCCGCCGAGATCAAGGACTTCAAGGGAGGTCAGACGAGTGACGGAGGGAGATAGCCAGCCTTCCATCTGGGACTGAAAGATGGACTCATCCGTAGAAATAAATCCGGGTAGATGAACCTCCGTCACTCTCCCCGTCGCGTTATCGCACGAAACGCCTTCCCATTTGCAGCAACTCCGTCCAACCCACTTCACCAACCGGCTGGAAGTGTCAACCTGAATTCCGGCCCTGAAGCTGGTAAGCCCTTTCAGGTCATTACGATTGCACTCTTCAGCGATGCTTCTTCCCTCTGTCATGGCAAACATTAAAACTACAAGCAATAAGAGATTGCATCCCATTTTTTTCATGAATCAAACATAAACAATCAAACTCAAATTGGGTCTGAAACAATGAGTTTTGAGTCTTCAATTAGTCAAGACTTGAGTATCATTGCTTTTTCCTTTTTCTTTTTTTTTTTCCTCTTTACAGATTGTCCTGCTAAAAAGCACGTCCGAATCATTTTGTCCTCCTTCATCAAAGGAGTCAACAGAGACCACAAGATTCACACCATTTTCTTTTTTCAAAAGTTGTTTTGCAGTTTTAAACAGTAAAATATAGACAAAAAAGGGACCACTGATTCATATTTTTTTTTATTTTTGATAGTGATAAATTAATTATATAATAAAAATAATTCTTTTCTTTTTAAAATTTATGTTATCCATTTCAAAATTTAAATTTAAAAACACTAATTTATACTATTAAAATACCTGGGCAGAGATTCTTAACCAGATTATAGTTAAAGAATGACACAATTCTCTAAACCGAGTAGTTTTTTTAAGATATACTAAGAAATCCACTTTACCCATTTTTAATGTACAAAAGTACAACACATCTTTCAAAATATCTTTTATCTACATTTTTTAATGTACAAAAATCCAAATCAGCTTCCCTAAGATGTTGAGTTGATCATCCTATCGTTTGTTTTGTATACATCAATCAGATGCTAGAGATGCACGTGGTAAATCCACATGGTTTTCTGATAAATTTTGATGTTAGTGATGTTGTGTAGTGGATAATGGGCTACTACTACATTGGATGTTTCTGCATTGGGAGCCGGTTTGGCAACGTCCACGGTTCTAACTATTATTGTCACTTTTTGTCCTAAATAGAGTTTCTATTTGCAAACGTAAGATGTTCCTGTCATGGTTTGGGCACAATCGTAGTACCTCTGTTACCACTTTGGAATCTAGAGAATGATACCTTACAATCATTAGTACACCTAAAGACTTGTAAACTAAAATTTAGGTGAGTTGGTACTCACTAAATATAAAACTCAAGTAACATAATATAGTTAATTTTTGATATATTAAGAACTCAGGTAAAGTAATACAATTAACTTTTAATATATATAAAAAAAAATCACTGAATTAGTTTAGTTTAGCATGAAATAGGATTCTCTTGGGTTTCATTCAATTGTAATGGGCATTAGGAATAGAAAGATAAATTTCAAGTTGTGCTCAAAATCATAAATCCAGTATGGATCCAAGTTCTGCCATAGAAAAAGTAGTTTATCTATTGCAGATGCATAACTATATCTAACAGTATAATTCAACATTTCCTTCACCAATCCTGCTACCAGTTGCATTGAGAGCAAACTCTATCCAAGACATTTTGTCTTGATAAATTCAGGTATAGAGAAATTATCTCTACTACCTGCAGGGATGGAAGTGCATTTCCATTATGAAAATGTTTGAAATTCATGTGGAAACAGATCAGCAGAATCTGAAAACACGTACCTCTCAATTAGGGTCTGCATTCTGTTGCAGCATGGATAAAATCCTGGCAATTGCTTGTTTGATTTTTGGAAAGCTTACTTCCATGAGAGACAATTGAATTGAAGATATTACAGAAGCAGACTAGGATTGTAACATTTGGGTCCACAGTACTCCCAGTGTTGGCTTTGCCAATCAACATTTTCATTGTTATTGGAGCAACTTCAGCAAATTACCAATCATCCTCTGGTAATACACTGCCAAAACAAGGGTTATTAGAATAGTTGTTTCCTTCTTGTGAAAAATGACACTGTTAATTGTTAATCAAGAACACCAACAGAACATATTAACAAATAATGGATGATCAAACCCAAAAAAATTAATAGAGGGTTGTAGTCATTAACTGTTTTATAAATGATCTTAGATAAAATGCATCAAAAGATATGTCTAAGAGACTCTCTTTAACTTTTATTTTTCAAACATGCCATGTATATTTGCTTAGAGAACTACTCCAGAACCCATAGAACATATTCATGACCAAGGTCAGAGTTGGAGGGTTGACTGTATAGTTATATCATGGAACAATTATATAATTCTGAACAAAATAAAAACTTGCAGCTTAATTACCTGGAAAATTGGAGATGGGAGCCATTCAGACACCTCTGTGTTTTCATCCATGCTTAAACAGATCTGTGCATTGAGGCGGATGTAACCATGAAAATTATGATTTGTTTAAGTACATTGACGCAAACATATTCTGGTTCAATATATTTTATAGTAAGTTCAAAAATTATTATTTTTAAATTTAAACTAAAAACAAAAAATTTTAAATACTAAATTGATAAGAATGAATGGCACTTGAGTTTTTGGATTCAATGACATCAAGTCACGTATAAGTGCATTCCCTCACCCTCAAGGCAACGGTTTGAATCCGATCCCATGCGAATTTATTTAAAAAAAAAAAATTGATAAGAATTAATGGGTGCATTAAATTGAAATTGACTAATTTTTTTATTTAAAAAATATAAGATTAGTCGGCAGATTTGAATATCTATTATTAAAAGAAAATAAAAATAATAATAGTTGGATTGATCAGCCATCATGATTCGGAATTTTGGATTCATTACATCCAAAATTTTATTTTAGCATTCCTTTACTAATTTAAAAGCAAAATACAAATATTTTAACATTAGAGGAAATGTTTTTTCATATTTGTTTTTTCCAAATAATTAAAATGCTAGGTAATTCTTTTGGAAATAAAAGGCAAGACTTGGAAATAAACAACGATTGGCGCCACCGGAATTTCATGGAAGGGCGTGTGGAGAGCAACCTAGGATGGATCGCACTGGTGTTGTTTCCAGGCGAAACAGTGACATTGTTTGCTCCGCCGTGTCTTGCCGTCTGCATGAGCTTTTCTATGGCATGCTAACATATTATCAAATTTTAAAATAAATATTTTAGTTTTTTAATGAGAGTTTAATAAAATTATGTAACTTGAAAAAGTTTTTTCTTCTAATTTTTTTTAGCAAAAATGCTATAATTAGTATTATATGACATCATAAATTTATAACATGATATTTCATTTTATAATTAATTTTTTTATTTAAATATCCATCCATGATATTGTATATATTACTTATTTAATATTATATTATATTTATTTAATATTATATAATGTTATAAATTTTGAATTTTATATGATATTATAATTATAACATTTACATTTTTTAACATATTTCCTAAAAAAAATCTTCAAATTTTAATAGAGAAAAAAGTGTTTATTAACAACTACATTTTTTTTTTCAAAATTCATTTATAAGCATTTTAATGTTAAAAAACATTGTCAACGACCTAAATAATTCAATGATCATCTCCTTTAAATTACATGACATACGAGTGAAGTGAAATAACCGAATAAGATATGAAAAATGGTTGTTAAAAAACGTTTTTTTCCCTAAATACATTTTTGAACTCAAGAAACAATAAGTACTTTTGATTATAAAAAATCTAAAAAAAAAAAAAAATCCCTGCACAATTATTGGGCCGAACTTGACAATGGAGCCCGTTTTGTTGTTTCCAAACAAAGCATGAACTCAAGTCACTGAACAAAAGAATTATCAGGAGAAAAAAAAACTGGAACTGAAGACGGCCTAAAAAAACGAGAGGACCGAAGTTGTGATGGGCTGTACCCATAAGGACATGAATGGAAACGGCTGAAGAAATTTTTTTGGGTTTACCCTCAAAGGTTAAGGGTTTGTTTGGTTGGAAGAAATTATTTTTAATATTTATTTTTTTAATACAAATTTTAACCTATAAACTTGCCTTTTCGGAAAAAAAGCTTTTCCCCTAACTTTCTTTCGGGTGATTAGGACAAGCAAAACCTCTAAATCCACCTTTTAAGTGGTAGGGATATATCCACTATTAAAAAAACTATAAAAATAAATTATTCTTTTAAATTATAAATTACGATAAGTCACTTATTTTTTTAACAAAAAACGTTAAAATTTCATTTGTTACATTAGTATTTTTTAATGAAAAATATTCAAAATAAATAATTTATCTTGATTTATAATTTGAATTGGTAATTTGTCATTGCATCTTTTTGATATGTGAATTTGTCTTTACCGACTTATTTGAAGCCTAAATTTGAGAGTTCTACCTTTTTGGACACAAGGTACCAATTAAAAATGTAATCAATATAATTTTTTATCATAAATTTGTATTAAAAAAGTAAACATTAACATTTATTTTATCAACTGACTAATTAAATTTATTTATTTGATACCAACACTAAAATTGCTATCAATTTTTATATTTTTTTTATATATATTTACGGTGAAAATGTGCATTTTAGAAAAACCTACTTTCTTTATATTAGATCCACTTGACAATATTCTTGTAAACTTTTTCAAGCTCAATTTTTTACCAAATATGAAATATTAATAACTCAATAAAATTAAAATAAAACTTCATTATAAAATTTATTATTATCAACCACTTTCCCAATAAAAATTTTCTTAGGAAAGTTATCTCCAACTAAATAAGCCATATAGGTTTCCCTTCAAAATTTTTTTTCTGAGCCCAAATCAAGATTACCTTATAGCCATTAATTAATCATTATTATTTTGTCTTTTCATAAAATAATTATAATTTGTTAGGAAATTTTTGTATTTTTTCAAAAATAATACACTTACAATATTATATAAAATTGTAAATTTATTATAATAATGTT